TAATATTTCTGAAAATCTGAATCCATTTTAATTCATATCAATCCATTCTCGTTTGCTGAGCACTCAATAGGCGATTGTAGTACCGAATATCCGAATTATACTCAGTAAAATTTTCCTTGAAAAGAGAATGTAGGAATATAACTTAAATAACATAAAGGTAAAAAACGTTTAAAAACCTTCAAAAGTAAAAAAATATCATTATGTTATTATTATTCTTTTTCACTTTTACTATTGAGCCATTTTTCGGGAAACAAAATTCAAAATAATCTACTCTTATATTTCAGTTAAAAAAAGAATGAAAATGTCTAGATCGTTTTTTGTTGCACTTTTCGTCTCGATTTGCTTTCCATTCGCCGGGGTTTCTTTTCCAATAAGAATAGACATCTTTATAATTGTTTAAAAGTATTACGTATTATGTCTTAGGGGCTCCGCACAATAACAGGAACAGAGAACAGAGAATAAAAATTTCAACCTGTCAGAACCTGTGTATTCCACAATATATGATTTCTGATAGGTTGAAATTCTTATTCTCTGTTTTCTGTTCCCTGTTTTTTTATTGTGCGGAGCCCCTTAAGCCGGTTCTACATTAGTTGTAAGCTGATCATAAGTTTGTTGCGACAGCCAATCTGAAGCTTGAAATCTTTGAAATCAACGCTTGATATATTAACTGTCGCAACAAACTTACGATCAGCTTGCAACTAATGTAGAACCGGCTTCTGCATACAGAACGTGGCAATGCTCGCCGCGCGAAGTTGATGCGATAGCCAATCCATTCAATAACACATTCAATAGAAACAGGGAATAATGGCTAATTTTTTCATCTCTTGATAACCTCATCCATGAGATATTCGGGTTATCTCTTATCTAGAGTAAAGAAAAAATTGGCCAGAGATTTCAACCTATCAGAAACCGGTTACATCGGAATATATAGTTTTTGATAGGTTGAAATTTTAATATTTATTCCTATTCTTAATATTTCCTTCATTGTATGCAGAGCCTTAGGTTCCGCTTTTCCGCCAAGGTGTGAACACTCCCTTACATTTGTTATGCCTGTTCTACAATAGGATCGCGAGTCATAAGCCATAAGAAATTCGCCAGTCACAGTTGAGTGCAAGAAAAATAATCGACTATAATTAATTAATTTCTTACAGCTTACTGCTTACGATTCTATTGTAGAACAGGCCTTACAAGACTGTTAAGGTGCAGCCACAATAGAAGGAATAAGGAATTAGGAATAAGGAATACGGAAATCCAACCTATCAGAAACCGTGTATTCCAGTGTATCCAATATCTGATAGGTTGAAAGCCTTATTACCGGTAGTCGGTAGTCGGTACTCAGTAATTTCTCTTAGTCAATTAGTCAGTGTCGATTGTCGATCTGCCTAGTATTGGCAAGTATCGGCAGATAATTTGCTGTAATCATAAGGCAGATTACAGACGAACAAATGCTTTTGAAGTCCTTGGTACATGTTGAGTGATGCTCTAGTTCAAACATCGTCGCTGAGAAGAAAACAAACAAGATGAATGCAACAGTAGACGGTAAAAGAATACAGGATCTTCCACCGAAAGGAGGCTATGGTCACATACAAACGGAAAGAATAAAATTACGCAGCATTGTCGGCGGTAAAGATATTTCTGTAACCAACTTTATTAACTGATTGAAAATTTTATTGGCTAATTAATGCAAAAAGATTGTCTTATTGGTAGGTTATATAATAATGTAACGAAATTTTATAGCTAGAAGCACAATTGCGTTGTTCCTAGCCACCACGTTCGGCGGACTGTATGCCTATTACCTAAGTTTCAAACAAGTTAGACGTCAACAGATTGAGATGAGAAGTGCACGTTGGGCTATATTTCCAGCATTGTTGGCGGAACGAGATAGAGCGTAAGGACGTATATTTTTCATTTAAAATATAGTATTCATAAGCTAGTACAATTGGAGGCTTAATTAATAGCGAATTCGGTTATTTGCACTCTATACCAGATTAGTGCATAAAAGCTGCTGAAATTAGCAACATGAAATGTAAAGAAATATCAATCTATTAAACGATTAATTACTTAATAATATTGTCACGTTATTTAATTGAATATATATGTATTATTTCATTGTCAAAGTTAAGTAAATGTTACTGCATTTAGATATTTTATATAAGGCAACCTTTAATGTATACTAATCCAGTATACTTGAATGACCATTCATCACAGTTATGAATTTGATTACTTGTACTGGATTAGTATGTATTAAAAAAGCTGATTTATTTAAAATATCTAAATGTATATCATAATATAATGGAATCAGTTATAATCATTTTCCTTTTTTCCATGCAGTGTCTTGAAACAAATGAGACGTAATCGCGACATCGAGACAGAATTGATGAAAAATGTTGAAGGATGGGAAGTGGGAACATACTATGGAGAACCGATATACTTTTTGGACGATCCAAATCAGTATAGAGATCCAATTATCCTCGAACATTTTGCGCATTCTGATCCAGATTCATATTGCGAACGAATTGAACGTCATTTGTGGATCTAATAATGTGACAAAATCGGAAAGTAGTATGTTAATAACGAGTATAATTATTGCGAGTTATAATTATGAATAATCTTTTTAAATTATAAGTTACAATAAAGTCGTAATATTTCTGTTTGCCAGTTATTCTTTCATTTCCCTCATTTTCACATTTTGTTATGACAGACTTCACTTATTAAAAAATAATATATTTAATGAGAATAATCTGTATTTAAATCTCTTTTTTTTAATGTATAATAAACACTAAAAAGAACATTTTACTATATAAAATAACAAACGCCGACTTCACATATTTTTATGTTTAAAAGCAAGTTTTTTATTTATAAGAATATGTTTGTTTTTATCAAAGAAGTGTAAAGTTCAAGTTTCTGTTGAGCTTTGCAAATTGATTAAATCGTTACTTGTTATTATTTGGTGAAGTTTATACTTCATTGACCATAGTATAGAATATTTTTTTATTTTTGTCAAAATACTGTTTTATAATTAATAAATATAT